TTTGGGACACCCTGTACATAAGCATAAGAAGAGGGCTGCATAGCGCAAATTGTACAGTCTAGCATTGTCGAGCATTAACAATGCTCGATAATCTTGGCGCGTGAAACTATGTGTTTTCCTTCCCTGCAAACCTCTTCAAATCTTCGTGAACAACAACCACCCACTAAGGCTCAAGTCAGACTTTTTGAGTGCGGATATGGTCTGTACCATGATATGCGGTGGCCAGTGGATCACTCTCCCTTTCCTCCCAATGAGTCTGGTGATAATAACCCACAGCGGTTGATGTAGACTTAGTTGGCTTGAGTGAATATTGACCCTCAGCCCAATCCCCGAAGCATGCACGTGTGACAGTGCACCATTTGCCATTGTACCAATAGCGCCATTGTCGTCTTGATAAGTAAAAGATTTCCTTTGAACCCACCGCTTTGTCCAGCCGCTGAAGAATCTGGACCAACGAATGAGACAGCCTTTCCTGTTGCTTTTGAGTTTATCACCTTTGCTTTACTGGGAGTTTCTTTGGATTCTTTGGCGCTATTATCTCGACTACTACTATCTGTTCCACCTTTTCTCATGAACGCTTTCCTCCTCGTCGAAGATACTGGCTTGTCTATGTTGGCTAAGGCGATGCTACTTTTTGTGCGCTTTGAGCTCTGCTTGATCTCTGGATACTTTTTCGGTGGGGGTGGTAGAGGCCTTGATGTAGCATGAATTTCTTCTTTAGAAGAATCGGTACTCCTAGTGCCTGAGTGTGGCTGTGTGCTTTCCAGTTTTTCTTCGGCTTTTGGAACATTTCGTTGTTCGACTGATCCTTGAACGTTTCTGGAATGGTCTGTGAATAGGGTGATGCTCAGGCACGAAATGAATGCTATAGACTCCCGATTGGATAAGAACCGATATCGGTCTAATCATTCCAACAAAAATGTCCAAACTAGCTTGACATTGATCAGTCTCGTCAGACGCATTTGCCCAATCTTTCTATTGCCCCCTCCCCCATATTCGTTAAGGCGTTTTGAAGAAGTATCTGTTCTATTCGAAGACTTCTAGAGCGACCTGATATCCAGGTCAATGTTTTTTGTTCCTATCAGACGGGACTGAAACCGACCAACCGATCCTGGCGGGATGAAAGGCTTGGTTGCCTACATAAGTGACGCTGCGGAATTCTTTTTCAAAACCATGCATGTGATAATGTTTTACTTGACGCTACACCACCTCCACCCATATTCTCTAATATTCCGAGAAAACGTAGGTATTCTGGATAAAGTATGAATACAGCCCTGCCACTACCATCGAGGAGTATCTGACCGAAGCCTTAACGATGTGAGTAAAATAAACGGTGCCCAATGGTCAACAACTTTCTTTCAACCTTTCCACATGTTTTTGGAAGGGAAGTGGAAATATCGATACAGTAACCACTAACATTAATATTGCATACACATTTCGTATTCGTTTTCTAATGCGGGATTTGATGTACCGTACCTTCTACAAAAGTTTCTCAATCTACCTTTCATGGCATGGAGCATAAGTCACCCTCCCCTCCATTCCCCTCTCCCCTTCTCCCCCGACCACGGTTCTTACACATGAGCTTGACCATTTCAAGCTGTTGCTGAAGGCTGATAGGGTGATCCACCCAGTGGGACTCACTTAGAATGAAGATGTTCACAAAAATCATATCACACTAACCTGATTGCTAAGCGTGCTTTGTCTTTCATTTCCAGATCTGGAGGCAGCTTAATCCGGTTTGATTCTGGTGGTGGACTTGCCTTGTGAAGTAACTGAAATCGTACAAGTACCGTTTGATAAAGACATAGACCAAATCATAGCATTATGAAAGGAACAATGATACGGCACCGATCCAGTGATGTGACATTTGCATGTGCTGGGACATCGTGGCACAAGAACGTGATCGTCATGCTGAATGTAAGGTCTAACCAAGCGCCCTGTAACTGTGGACTGCCAACAGATTCAACCTACAGTTTGGCTATCACCGGTGTCTGAAGTGGATGATGAAGAAGCGCTCTGCTGATACTGGGAAGAAGGTAATGAACGCGACTCCGGGCTAGATAGCCTACGACTGCTGTATTCTGGAAGGAAGCCATCACTGTTGAAGGTTCGGCCTTGAATTGTGTCAAAGGCACTTACTCATTTGAGAAGTGAATTGCATATTGGCTATGTTGTCGTAGTCACTTGTATCCGTTTTCCAGCCGGAATCAACTGATTGTGACCTGAGAAAAAGCAGATCTTCGTACAAGGAGCAGTTCCCTCTTAGGTATAGGTATCTTCTGTTTTGGATACTGTTAGTGAAAAGTACGGAAAACATCGGAGACAACAGTTTTATGTTTTCGGGTTTGGTCTACTGTCAGATACCTTCTCTTCTGTAGCTATAGAGAACCTGGTTTAGAAACGTACCCAATTTCTTTTACCGGAGTCGATTTTGCAGATCCTCTGGCTGGTTTCCAATGACCTCGAAGAGGACGAACGATGACACCAACACGAACCTCCGCATCCTCATCACAGTACACACCGGTCATGAGAAAAACACTACTAACAGTGAGGCATCCTCACCCTGCTGATGGCTTTTATAGTGAAGTATGTATATTCGAATGAGCTCAATTCGCCATTATCACTTAATATTAAGGGCAATGGTTTTGTATCAAACATCAGCTATCAGTCGCAAAGACTTTCCAATAATATGAAGTAGAGGTAGCCGGGAGTCGGGGGAGTCTCTTGACAGTGACCTGTAGTCAATGGTGTTCCGGCATTTCACGCTTTCGCTCTGAGCAGGACAACTGCAGGCATCCGCCTGAACAGAGCAACCAATCATCTAAGGCTTGACGTTTTGACCGACGTTCTTGTTCCTTTTCAATTTTCCCACCAGTTGTAGTGAAGACCTTAACGTTTACATTACATCTTCTAGCGCCTTTAAACCTTCGAAAAAACCTAGAGTGTAACTTTTTCATGCAAAAATCGTGCTAAAAACCGCTGCTCTGATCCAGCAACCTTTCTCCTTCACCCTTCTTAATGAAGTGAAGTTGACGTAGAAGTGGAGGGAAGGTATTAGTGATGACAAGATAGAGTTGCGAAAAAGGGGTTTAGTTTTCTGGTATGTTGACGCCGCTTTTCTCGATTGAATGATTGGTCATAATGAAGGAGAGTTAGTTCCGTCTTCTCATGCAAAGTATCAAGGAAGCTCACTTCAATAGTACTTTAGGACTTAGAACGAGCACCTCAAGACAGGGCACTTTTACACACGCTGTTTGAATTAGCGCACGCGACGTTGTCCTTCAAGACGATCTTCGTGTGTTTTATCAGCTCAGTAGGAGCCATTCCAAACGCTCTAATTTGGCGTGGCAACGATCTATGAACTAGCCTTTACCCCTTACAGCAGGGTAGAAGTTGGCTGTACTGGTATGCTCTAACTAATAAGAGACCATTGAGCTGAACCCATCTTTTGAAAACCGTTTGTACCATCCCCCTACAGCCCTTGCCTTTCAATTATTAGGTTGTTCGGAAAGGAATGCGCCTTGATTTTGTGCATTCGTTTCTCCCCCACTATGAAAGATTTTTCAAAACAGCTTTGTCTATTAGAAAGAGATTTTCATTGCGCATCTTCTGATATATTTTTGGCTATGTCTACTTTGTTTTTTCTGAGGAAAAAAAGCCTAAAAGGTGCTCGACCAAAA